ATTCATCCCCTTGGGGGGCTCACCTGAGATCTGCCCCCATAATCGGGCCCCTCCTGCAGAGGACCGCTCCTGCAAGAAGTTCTGTGGGGGCATCTGCCCCCCCAGAAGTTTCCTGCCCTGACATTGCTTCACATGAAGAAGGGGAAAACAATAAAGAAAACTAAAATATACAGTGGGGCTGGCGAATCTAACAAGGGCAGGCTGTGGTTGTGAGGGAAATGGCGGGGGGGGGGAAGGGGACTGAAGCTTACTGAGATACAGCCCCACAGAAAAAAACCCAGGAGGGCTATGCTTGGGGAATGTGGGGGGAAAATGAACACACACACAAGGGCCGGGGAGACTCTAGCTGGCTTACTCAGCCACACAACAAACACCAGGGCAGGGGGAGTGAACCACACAAGGGCAAAAAACACACAGGGAAGGCTGCTGAGGCAGATGTAAAAGATGGCTGGAGCAGTGGAGGGGCATTGTTTGTTGAAAATCAGTCCAAGAGCCCCTCAGGCTTCCAGCCAGGCACTCAGCAGCACAGCAATGAAAACAAAGCAGGATCAGATGCAGTGAGGCAGCTGTGGGGGAGTGCAGGAGCAATCCATCAGTTAGGGAGTAATCCAGTGCAGGTGTGGTGTTGAGTGGTGCAGGGTGGTGCAGCAAGGAATCTCCCTTTCTCATGAGAGGGGGCAGCAGCAGAACAGATGGCCGCAGTTGCAGAAACAGCAGCAGCGGTGATAGCAGCCATCCAGTTCAGCCACTCAGGTGTTCTTCAGGTGAAAGTGGAGTTGAAGGTGAGGGATGGCCTGCCAAGGCAGCTGGGGTAGGCACAGCACCTTTAGGTTCCAGCACTGTTGGTTGGGGAGGGGCCCACAAGCAGCGCAGGCTCCCTCCCCGAGCTGTCCCCTGACTGAGGCTTGGCGGCGGGCTGGGCAGCAGGCCGGGCAGCAGGCTGGAACAGGTGTGCAGAAGCTGGGTTGCGGTGCAGTGCAGTGGGCCCCTCCCCAAGGGTGCGCAGCGGCATGCAGCAGAGGACCCCTCCTGTGGGGCGGGGGGGCACCAACAGCAGCAGCAGCAGCAGCCCAAGGCAGGAAGGGGTGCAGGCAACTTACCTGAGGCCCACACAGGTACTGGCCCCAGCCTCTTGCTTCCCCTGGCTGAAGATCTGGGAGAAGCTGGGCAGGGTCAGTTTGCCTCAAGTGGCACAACTTGCCCCACATGAAAGTGTATGTTCAGGCACGTGTGCTGAGGCACAAACCTCCGGCACAAATTTATGCCACTCCTATTTGAGCTGCTGCAAGCACACATGCCTGCATGTGTGGATGTGCCCCTTGGTAGCATTTGGAAAGGCATATTTAATTTGACAGTGTTTGCACAACATAGGTTTTCTTTCAGAGTGACTTACAGTTGCAGTGTGGAGATGCTTCAGTATGTTAGAAGATGGTCACACCGTGTTGCTGAGGGAAAAAAAGAAATAAGTAATATACTAGCTAGATTACATATATAAGCACAAAGATACAGTATGTGAAAAATTTAGAATTGATGAAGGGGAGCCCTCCTAAGTAAAATAACTGTGAATCCCCCCCTTCTTTCAGACCTCATCTCCTTGCTAAGGTAAGAGTAGAAGGTGATTTGTTCAGAAAGCTTCAGATTGGTAGGAACTCCATTATGAATTACATAAATTATGAAAATATATTAACTGAATATATAGTTTAATATACCAAACTCAAAGACATTGAAATGGTTACCTTTCAAAAAACAAGAAGTCTACTTCCAGTTCCTTTGTGTTGCTAGATGCAGTTTGTTAGGCACTTCTGTGGATCTCCAGGTCACAGGGAGGAGGCAGGTTCCATTCTACCACCAAAATCTTTAGGTTTCTTTTTCCTCTGAGACTTTGCTACCTACAACAGGACTTAAGCAGTTTCTTCACACAAGCAAAAAGGGCAATAAGCTGCTTGTTTCCACTGAGCTGCCAGTGTCTATTCCCAGTCCTTTGAGGGGAGAGGTCACCAGGTTGGAGGGCCTAGTCAGGACTCAGGAGGAGGATATATGAGTCTGTCTCCACCAAACTCTAAATCAAAGGTCACCAGAGGAAGAAAGGCTGCAGGCAGTACAGAAATACATAAGCAAAGAAGGTCCTGGATCCTTCCTTCCCCCTTCTGTGCGGATGGCAGCAACCTGTGGGGGAAGAAATGCATCTTGGATTTGAAAGTTGTATCATGTCTACCATATAAAGGAATTGTAATGATCTAAACGTGTAGATTGTCTTACATAAAACATCTTCTTGTTATATAGTTCTTAGAAATCATTTTGAGGGAGTAAAGGTCAGCTGCAATAAACAGAATTTGAAAACCTTGTCTTAAAAAGCATTTCATTCATCACTCTAAAAGAAAATACTTCATAAGAGGTTTTTTCCAGTTTTTCCCAACATTTCTAATTTTTCCATTGAAAAAAACAGAAGGATTTTTTTTCCCAATCTTTTCCTTTTTTTCCCTCCAGGGTAAAATCTTTCCCCTTTTTTCCCCACATTTCTAGGGGCTAGAGAGAAGATGACACCAGAGGGGCCCAGAGGCCCAGACAGGGGCAAAAGAAGCTTCCTGCCCTTTGGGCGGAGGCCTGGACTCGATGATCTTCTGAGGTCCCTTCCAGCCCTAACGTCTATGAAATCTATGAAGTCCAGCAGCCCAGAGCAGAACCAAGACAGATTGGGACCAGAAGGGTCCAGCAGCCCAGCGAAGGGCCAGGAATAGTGAGGCCCAGTGAGGGGTCAGGAATTGTGTAGTGGGACCAGAACGGTCCAGCAGCTCAGCAAGGAGCCAGGAATACAGTGAGTCCCAGAAAGGGGCCAGGAGGAGTGAGGCCCAACGAGAGGCTGGGAATAGTGCAGTGGAACCAGAAGGGTCCAGCGGCTCTGCAATGGGCTGGGAATAGACAGAGACCAAATGAGGAATCAGGAATACAGAGGGGCAAGCAGGGCCTGGGGGCCCAGAGAGGGGCTACATGAAGATCCCCAATGTGGTCCCCATTTTCAAGAAAGGGACGGAGTAGGACCCATGAAACTACAGGCCTGGTAGTCTTACCTCAGTCCTGGGGAAGCTCTTTGAGAAAATTATCCAGGAGCACATCTGCAAGGGGCCAGCAGGGGAGATCATGCTTAGGGGCAACCAGCATGGGTTCATTCGAGGCAGGTCCTGTCAGACCAACCTGGTGGCCTTCTATGACCAGGTCACAAAAGCCTTGGATGTAGGTGTCACAGTGGACATAGTCTTTCAGGACTTTAGGAAGGCCTTCAACACTGTCTCTTACCCCATTCTCATTAAGAAATTAGGCAACTGCAGTGTCGATGCCTACACAGTCAGATGGGTTGCTAACTGGCTGGAGGGCCACACCCAGAGAGTGGTGGTGGACGGGTCTTTTTTGATCTGGAGGGATGTGGGCAGTGGGGTCCCCCAGGGCTCGGTCCTCAGGCCCGCACTCTTCAACATTTTCATCAGCAACTTGGACGAGGGAGTGAAAAGCACCCTGTTCAAATTCGCAGACGACACTAAGATGTGGGGAGAAGTGGGCATGCTGGAGGAGAGGGACAGGCTGCAACTAGATCTAGACAGGTTACAGGGGTGGGTGGATGAGAACAGGATGGGAGTCAATACTTACAAGTACAAGGTACTGCACCTAGGGAGGAAGAACCAGCAGCACACCTACAGGCTGGTGAACTCCCTTCTTGTCAGCACAGAGGCAGAAAAGGATCTTGGTGTCATCATTGATTCCAAAATAAACAAGAGCCACCAATGTGGGGATGTGGTCAGGAAGGCTAGCTGCACCTTGTCATGCATCCACAGAAGCATCACGAGCAGGTCCAAGGGGGTGATCCTCCCCCTCTATGCGACATTGGTTAGGCTGCAGTTGGAGTACTGCATCCAGTTCTGGGTGCCACACTTCAGGAGGGATGTGGATAGCATCAAGAGGGTCCAGAGAAAGGCCACTCGCATAATCAGGGGGCAGCAAGGTAGGCCTTACAAGCTGAAGCTACAGGACCTGAACCTGTTCAGCCTCCACAAGAGAAGGCTGAGAGGGGATCTGGTGGCCGTCTACAAACTGGCCAAGGGGGACCAGCTGGCTATAGGGGAGTCCCTGTTCCCCCTGAGCACTACCAGGAGTAACAAGGAACAATGGCCATAAGTTGACCAAGAGTAGATTCAGGCTAGATATCAGGAGGTACTACTTCACAGTCAGGGCGGCTAGGATCTGGAACCAACTTCCAAGGGAAGTGGTGCTTGCTCCTACCCTGGGGGTCTTCAAAAAGAGGGTAGACAATCACCTAGCCAGGGTCATTTGACCCCAGCATTCTTTCCTGCCCAAGGCAGGGGGTCAGACTTGATGATCTGCTCAGGTTTCTTCCGACCCTACCTACTATGAAATTATGAAACTATGAAGAGACCAAGGGGCCTGGCAGCCTGGAGAGGGGCTGATTGAAAGGCCTGAGGACCCAGGAGGGGCCAAATGAGTGACCAAGGGATCTAGCAGCCCAGATTGTGGCTGAGTGAGGTACTGAGGAGCCTGAAGATTTGAGTGGGGCTGGGCAAGAGACCATGTGGTCTGAAAGCCCAGAATAGGGCTGTGTGAGAGGTGGAGGGTCCGAGCACCTGGAGGAGGGCTGCATGAGTGTAGGCATGTGACAAAGAGAACATCCACAATGATGCCATCTGTGAGACATGGGACATGGTGTAGAGAAGGTTTGGAGCTATGCAATTAGCCCATAAGGCAAAGGACCACAGCCACCAGGTGGTCAGTAGAGCAAGATCAGGTCCAGGAAGCCCTGGGACAGCCTCCCTTTTATAACCATAAAAGACATCAAGACATGGCGGGAAAGCAAAGGAGCTATGGTTAATAGGGAAGTGTAACAAGAAGCTTCTTCTATATGTAAAATAACATGACGTTTTACTACTGCATTTTTGGTTTGAAATTGCTGGCTTTGAGGATCTTCCTACTCACTACAGTGGAAAGTGCATCAGCTGCACATTGAAATGGAGTCAACAACTTGGGATGAAAGCATCTACAACAATACTTTTGACTACTATACTCCTGACAATAGCAGTGATGTTAGCAACTTGTGTGAGATGTATGACTTATCTCTATTTAGTAGCCTTCTCACAACTATCCTGTACTCTCTGGCCTTTTTGTTCAGCCTGCAAGGAAATAGTCTAGTGTTATGGATCCTAATGAAATATGAGAACCTTACGTCTTTAACAAATGTGTTCATCATGAATCTTTGCATCTCTGACCTGGTGTTCTCATGCATGCTGCCCTTCTGGATTGTGTATTCTTTATACGGCTGGATTTTCGGGGATGTCCTTTGCAGGGCTGTAAATGCTGTTTTCTCCATCAGCTACTACAGTGGTATTTTCTGCGTGACCATGATGACTATTCTCCGATACCTGTTGGTGGTGAACCCCCTGTCAACCCTGAGAACACACACCCGCCAGTACGGTGTTCAGGCAAGCTTGATCATTTGGACTTTTAGCATATTGATTGT